GGGACAGACTGGACAGCTCCAGCCTGTGGCTTGACAGGACAAGGGATGGTGTAGACCTTCAGCTCTTCTGTTTGTGGYTGTAATTGAGCCCAGCCTGGCAGCTGATCTGAAGCATTGCAGCAGTGGAAGTTGTGGGGTTGCTGCTGTTTGCTGCCAGCAGATTTCCTGTTTTGCTCGGCACGGATTCCTCGCTGGAGAAGAAGAGCAGAGGTGACARTGTTAGAGGGAATCAGGGGTGTCACTGGCACACCAGGGCTGTGCAGTGATGGCAAGGAAATGTCATGTTTTGGCTGAAGAGTTTGGTGGCTGTTTAAGGTCAGAGACGGATGGGTCCTTCATGAGGACACTTCAGGTGTAGAATTTGCCTGTTTCACGTGACAGTGCCTGTGACAGCTGTAATTTAATTGGGGAWGCTTTAGACAGTGTCATCTTGTCCTTACATGACAGGAACACTGTCTCATTGCTGTCTGGCCATTTGCTTCTTCACAGGGCAGAATCCAGGCTCATCCTTTAGGGTATTTTCAATTTTGTTGGAAAGAAGTCTTTGCTATATAAAAACCCTCCTGCTGGTATTGTAGCAGAAAAAAACATATATGCCATGGTAGTAGGAAGAGAGGCATAGGATGTTTGCTTTCCCTCATGCTTTCCCTGCATCTCTCGGGTGTGCTGTGCCCTCAGATGCTGAAATCCCACAGTGTGCATAGAGCAGATGTGGTTGGGCAGTGTCAGCTTGCAGGTCTGCTGGAACCCAAGGACATGAGTGTTTCTTCTGTGAATTCAATGATCCTTTAAACCCACCTTGGTCTGAGTGAAAAACAACTTCCCACAGGTATAATTTTCCCCCGTTAAGTTTTCCAGGAACACCCAAAGTGGGAGCTGAGGTCCCTCACCTGGAGGGGAGAGAGCAAGATTAACCCAACTGCCCAGCCTCCCCAGTGAAAACAGGAGAAGAATTAGGGGGTTCTCTGTTCCTGACCCTGGATCTGTGACTTGCCACAGCAGACAGGAAAGTTGCCCTCRTGGTACTTCACACGGCACATCCTAATTCCCCCTCTAAGACAGGGCTTGAGTCATTGCTTTTTGATAAGGCTGTCTCCCCACAGGCGGAAGCTGCAGCGATCAATGAGGCTTACTCAGTTCTCAAAAAGGTCATTAAAAGACCRTAGATATAAATTTAAAGAGTGTTTGTTCACATCCTTGATGTTAAAGATGTTCTTCTCTCACACTTCCTTAAGTAGCATGGCACGGAGCCGCCGTGTGCCAGGTCCTGCCTGGCAGCGGGGTGCAAAGTGCCCCTTGTCATTGTCCCTGTGCCACCRGCTCCTAGGCAAGGTGGAAGAGGAAAGAAATGGTCAAAAATTACCCTTTATCACCACCTGGAGCAGAGCTTGTCTTGCTCACATCTCCAGAAACAGTCTGTAAAATCAACCTTGGTATCCTATAACTATTGAGAGAGGGAATAAAACCCTTCCCCWCCCTGTTGCATTCCTTCCTCCCTCCCTCACTATGGGACTGGATTACTGCCTGAAGTATTGCACATATCATCCCTTCAGCAGCTATATTTTTTCCAAAATGTGGGCACTGTGAAGGAATGTTAGCTGCTGCCAGCATGATACATTTAACAGTTCAGGAGCATAGAAGTATCTCGTGTTCCAGTTGTTGAAACGTGAAATGCCACATCCAGGCTCAGTCAGCTTTTTGTTGCTCATTATGTCAGGCCAGGGTGAGTTGAAAGCATGATGCCTCCAGTWTTGAGTTCCTATGGTGGTTTTTGGGGCTCCAGTCCAGCCACATCTCCAGCTCTGCYTTTGTGATGCTGGAGGGCACTTCCAGAGCACACATCCCGATTCTGAGCCCCTTGGGCACACCTGGTTTGTTGGTGCTGTCCTGGATGTGACACTCTGGTGCTCCTCTGCTGTCCCACAGTGCAGGGAAGACTGTGAAGCTTCAGAYTGCTYTTGCCTGGGATGCCCAAAAGGGGAKTTGGGATGAGGATGGGGAGGATTGGCCCCTCTGGAGACCTGGTCCCAGGCCTGATGCTCCTCTACAGGGACCACGTGTCTCCAGGAATTTGTCTTCCCTTTCTTTGTGTTTTAACCTAAGCCAAGGATATTGGGGTATCACAAGCATAGACAACTTAACAACTCTCATTTTCTACCCAAATTGCTGCGGAGTGAGGGGAACCAGGCTGTGCAAATACCTAAATGTACATGTAAGAACGCAGATATTTTGTTCACCTTTTTTGGAGAAGAAATGGCTTTTTTTTTTTTTTTTTTTTTTTTTTTTTTAGTGTCACTAAATTGTAAGGATCATTTGCCTATCACAAGATATCATTTCTCCAAGGGCTTTCCATTTTTGAGCAGGTTGCAGTTGGATATCTCCCCTCCCCAGTGTGGGCCAGGTGACAGGGTTAGAGCACAGCCCACAAAGCCAGCAGCCAATGTTCTCCAAGTCCACAGAGCCCTCTCCYCATACAAAGTCTTCCATTCCCAATCCACACAATTAAAGAAACCAGAGTTCTCCCCACTTAATCACTTTCATTTCCAATTTTCTGTCTTACTCACCCACGTACACATTCATCTCCAGCCACCTCATAATTCATAACCACCACATTCTCTCTTGGGCAGGATTTAGTTCTCTAGGTTTTCTTCCATTGTGTTCTGCCAACTTCCAAAAAACGTGAGCTTTTCCTGTCACCCCTTTGTTTACAAGTGCACACAAACTCTTCCCTCCAGTGAAACCCCTGTGCAAGRCACACTCACTGCTCTTAGCCTGCCCCATCATCTGTGGGTATTGGTGGAAATCACACCAAAAATCAGGATCTGAAAATTCCTGYTTTGCGCTCAGGACCGCAATCTCAGTGCATCAGAAAGCAGCGTGGCTTTATTTATTTTGTAGCCGCCCCAACTGTTCATTTGTTAACATTTTCCAAAAATTGAATCTTTTTTTTTTGTGGTTAGCAGATCCCCAGTGACAAAATCCACATTTCTACAAGTGTACTTGTTAATCTTAAATATTTTACAAATGGTTTTGAGATGGTTTTGAGACAGAACTTGAGAAATAACTGCTCTCCAATAATCAAAGCCTGGCTCTGCTTCAATTTCATCAGTATATATGAGAAAACTCCCATCTTAGTAAGTAGTTTTATCTGGGAGTGAAATCTAGAGAAAAACCCTCATTATTTTACTACAGTGTGTGTTTGGCCACTTTAGTTACTTCCTATAATTCGTTTTTTGTTTTGTTTTGTTTTGTTTTGTTTTTCCCAGAAAAACTTCTGCTTTAAACAAGTCCCAAAGGCCTGAAGTCTGAAAATTTTCACTTGGATTGAATAAACACTCTTACCAATATCTGGGTAGACCTCTCCGCAGCCTGTAGGTGAATTAAGATGCTGTTTGTGCTACATGAACTCTCAAATTTACCTCATAGGAGCCACGGACTGTTGCTGACAGGAATCAGGTGCAGAAGGAATGAGAAAGCCAGTTCTGTTTTCATTCCACTGAGTTTCCCTCCCATTCCTCTGCCATGTGCAGTAACAAAGAGTCAGATCCCAGTGCTGTTGGCAATTCATTCAGTGCCAGTTATTTTGCAGGCACGGTACCCATGAGAAACAGCTTTGCTGTAAAATATAATGTGGGATATTGAGGTTTAAGTCATGCTTGTTAATTTAATGAATGCTGTAAGRAGATACTTATTTCGCCAACCTGAAGATTTCAGTGACTCATTGATATCCACTCGAGTGGCTTTGCTGCTCTGCGTAGTAGATTYATCTCCTCGTAGTACACACTTCATTAGTAGATGCTTTTTGACCAAGTTCCTGTGACAAAAAGCCATGTATATTGCAGTCAGTAATTGGGGCAATGTGAGCACAGTGAGTGGAGCCTGGCGGGGTTAGGGAAGAGCTGGGCTGCCTTTCCTGCTCTGCAATTAACCTGATTGATGACTTTGAGCAAATCATTGTGCCTTGGCCACTCCATGGCTTTACAAATCGGCACAAGGAGAACAAGGSGAATGAGTTTCTTTGTGGAAGGTTTTGGGTTTTGATGATGTAAAAGGCAACATGAAGGAGCTAAACATTTTTATTAGGCTTTTTTATTTCCATATTGCATATGAAAAATATTATTCCTCATTTACACATGCACAGGATTTAGGTAATTATGGCTTTGCATAAATATGTAACAGTTTGCTAATTCTTTCTGTGAATATTTCGGTGTTAATACCCTGATCCTGTGCTGTGGTGTGGATCCTATTTTTTACTCTGGAAGAAACCACCTTTTTAACTCTACTGTTTTAATGCCCACATGTGAAGTGAATAACTTATTTGTCCATCACTGAAACATCCTCAGTCCCATTCTGTCTTAAACTAATCACCAAAYTCTCACTGGCTCCAGGTGCAGTTGGATTGAGCTCAGAGCTGCTCAGGAAATAATGAGTACTTACAATAATAATAATGAATAACAGGGTATTTTCAATTCCTTGAATGAACTGTGGCACAAATTTATTGGTAACACTGTCCCTGATGTGGAGCAGAAGTGTCCAAGGCTGAACACAGCAAGGCACGGGGCTGATTCCTCAGGTGTTGAAGAACTGTTGACTGTTGGTGATGCTCTHAGTGTTTCCCACTGCTCATGGTGAGGATTGGCACTGCCACGGTGTCAGTGCAATGCCATCTCTGTCCTGGGTGTAGATGTAAGCAGCAACTCACCAAACTGCATGATTTGCACCAGGAAATGGTTTTGCTGTCAGATGGTCGAGAGCTGCACCTATTTCRGAGCCGTGCATAAATCAAGCACAGGCAAAAGTAGCCCTGATTGTGCTTACGAGAAAAAGACACTCAACCAAAAATTAATCCCATCAAAATAAAGTAGGAACACTGGGAGGAGCTGACTGAGCKAAACCGTGCTTTTTTGGCAGCCAACCCCCTCTTCAGCACCTCCTTCTGTGCCCTTTGCTGCTGCCGCCTTTGTTGTGGGAATCACTGACTCTTTCCTTTTGTCCGGCAGGGAGCTGAGCGACAGGACCCCGTACAGATACCAGGTGGTCATTGTGTCCGGGATGGAGGAGAGCGAGCCTTCCCCCGCCCTCCTTTACATCTCTGGGAGTGGATACTGTGGAGACGGGATTATCCAAATGTAAGTCTGCAGCGAGCAAACAGATAAATCCGGCCACATCTCCTCAGCCAGAACGTGAGACCAGGAAGGAAYTGATGACCTCTGATGTCTCCTTAGGTTAGGCTGGCTCTCATCTGTAGATAATGACTCACGTGCCTGATGATTACCGGGATGATGACATTTAATTGTAATGTAGGCTGTGCTCTCCTGGCACCAGGAGATACAGACAGAGATACAGATAATGGAGTCCAGACAGCAGGATCGATAGGCAGGGATGCTCGGTGCTGTTGATGCTGTTTTTCCCTGTATCCATATCTTTATCCATGTATATGACATTTCCTACACGGGTGCTGGAAGAATTTGCACAGCCTTTGGTGCTGATGTGGTGTCCCACATGTGGGGCAGCTGAAAAAAAACCCTGACACGTGCTGGGGCCAGGCTCCGGGTGCAGCCCCTTGTTGGACTGACCACCAGAGCTGGAGTGCATTTGAAGGAGACAGATTTGGCTTCTGAGGAATTCCATGTGGGTGGAATTCCATATTGTCAATCAGCTCCCCTCTCTCAACCAATCCCCAGGCCACTGGAAATGTAAAACAATCCTTCACAACTCTGTTAGGGTTTATTCTTTTACTATGTTGGCCCTTAAGGCTGCTGCTTCAAAGCTTCCTGGCATTAGGTAATTTAATTATTTAAACTGTGGAAGTAACAACAAGCAAAGTGCTTAATCCAGCCAATATTATTTGCTTGAAATAATGCTGATCAGCAATCACACAGCACAACTCTGTCAGACAATATACCTGACAGCAAATATTTGCAGGAAGAGGCCCAACAGGCAAGGAAATAAAAGAAAACAATCAAACAACATATGAATCCAGGGCAGTCCTGGAAAGGGAGGTGGAGAAAGACAGATTAATTTTGCTTTACATAACTTTTCTGCTACTGTTATGTTTGCACATTCCTCAAACATCACTTGTGGCTTTGCAGCAAGTGTCAAACAATAGCTGAGCTGACTCAGGAGCAAGCAGGAACCAGACTGTGTCACAGCCTGGCTGGTTGTGGCCCCACTTGCAGCTGTGGCAGCCCCTTTCTCATCTGGTTCCCACTCTTCTCCCCACACGCTGCCGCAGCCGTGYGGGCTGGCACRAAGCAGGTTCCATCCCCAGCACCTYCTGCTTCCTCCGAGCGTTGTCACCTGGAATAGCCCAGCTCCAGGCTTCATGCCTTCTTATYCCCATGCTGGGGTCACAGTCTGGCCCTTCCAGATTTAATACAAAGGGTTTCAGAGATTCCTGTTCTCTTTTTCCCCACCTGCTGAGCTGCAGCCACACCAGCTATGAAGGAAGTTGCTCATATCCTCATCAGAGAACAGCAAGTGGTATCCACATGTGCAGGAGGGAACTGGCCAGCCGAGCCTGCGAACCAGGAATGATGAAAGTCCTCCCTTAAGGAGGAAGGGAGAGGCATTTTAGGGGTTGTGCTGGATTTCAGGACTTTGGGGTTCCTCAGAGGGGCTGCAGAGACCATGGGGTTGATGCCACTTTGCCAGCTGACTGCTTTTTGCATGTGTGTGCCCTGCCTGCAGAGAGCTGGGGGAGGAATGTGACGAYATGAACAAGATCAACGGCGATGGCTGCTCCCTCTTCTGCCTGCAGGAGCTGTCCTTTAATTGCATCGGTAAGTCCKGCTCGGAGCCCTCCGACCCACGGTGGGCAGCAGCTCTGTGCAGAGTCCGAGGGGAAAATCAGCATCATTTCCAGCTGAAGAGTTGTCATGGAAGAGAGAAAAAAGGTGGAATTTGTAGGTTTGAAAGGCGAACATATCTTCCCAGCTTCTGGTCATTTTGATGGGAAATTGGTTCTGCTGGCTTTGAAACAGTCCAGGACTTAGGGCTAAGTCAGCCATTGTGGGACTGATCCAAAGCCCATTGAAGTCAGTGGGTGGTTTTCCAGTGGCTTCAATAGGCTTTAGATCTGACTACGTGAGAAGACATGAACTGATTTTTTTTCTGGTAAACAGGAGGAGGAGTGAAAGGGGAAGGGACTGAGACCAGAAGCAAGTCCAGCTGAGGTCACACCTCCTTTGAGTTGCAAATCAATATCTGAGGATCAAAGGTCTGGCTAATCCCCTTTTTCAGAGGTGAAAACTACTTAATCAGATTTCATTTGCAAGCCTGGTTTGCTCTGATTAGCAAAACCTGTAAGCACAATGGCCGGAAGATGCTCGAACTATCGGGGCTGCAGTTTCGAGCTTTACATATTTATTAAACTCTCTAGGAATGCTGGGGACAGAGAAGGGAAATGGAGGCCAATTTGCACCGCACCTTCTGTGGGGTAGATCCACGTTGTGGGGCTGGTTTTTCCACCCAGGGCTCTGTGAGGTCTGGGAAAGCATGACACATGCAGAGCTTCAAGAACCAAAGTTAATGTTTATAAAGAGTCGGTGTTTTTTTTTTTTAAGATATTTTATGAGGTTTCTTGTCTGGACTGACCAAGMAAACACTGTCCCATTTAATGATCCCATGCCTTCAGCTCTTCAATCCTAAGCGGATAATATAATGTTGGCAAGTATGAAATTTGCTCTTTTTGGCAATTTGATGATAATCTCTTGCACTTGGGGCAAATAGAATGGACCTCACAGGCACCATGTTTCCCTTGGGTGGTAAACTGGGAGCTGCTTGGCTCATCAGAACAGCTACATTTTTCCTTCAGCATCCTACACTGTGAGACTTGAGGCCTGATTTGGTGATGAACTTATTTACAAATGCAAATAACTCTATTGAAATTGGGAATATTTATTGTCGAGGCTGTTTGTGATTTTTGGTGGTCTTGAAGTTACATTTGTGCTTCAAGTAACTTGCTGCTTTAGAGCCTCAAGCACTGAAAGATTTYAGTCATAATATTTTGAAAGTGGGATAAACAGGCAAATGTTTTGGGTTCTCCAGATGTCAGGCGTGGTGTGAGGCTGGTTCCAGAAAGRTTTTGGGCTGGTGCTGGGTAGTTTTATCTGTATCACCATGCTCAAAAGGGTGAATTCCTTGAATTCTTTCCTGAATTCCTTGGTCCAGGTCTGTGCTTTGACCATATCCCAGTGTTACATTAGGACATGACACAGGTTTTCCCCTGTGTCCATTGGTTCTGGAAACCAAGTGGTGTTAACTGGGTGGGAGCTGCAAATCAGTCCAAGAACAGGAGTAAGAGTGGGGTGTCCCAARCATTGGGATGTCCTTCAGGAGTGTGAAGGAATCTGCTTTATACCTTTGTACATGAAATCATGGAATTGGCTAAGTTGGGAAAACCTCTAAGATCATCAAGTCCAATTGTATCATCCATCCACCATCATCCAACCGTCCATCCCTCATCAGCAAACATCTTCAACCCAGGAGCAGCAACAGGGCTGCCTGAGAGTGTGGGACAAAGCAGTCTGACTAGAAAATGAAGCAACTAAAACATACAGATTTTTCTACTCCATGACAGAGGAAGTGGGTTTTCGGATTTGCTTGTGTTGGAAAGGAGAGGGGAATTCCAGGGGCAAAATGTTGTTTGTTTGTCACGGGCTTTGGAAGGTTGTGGTTTTCACAGATCCTGGATTACAAAACAAACGATATCAAATTGCCTGTGAAATATTGAACATAGGGGCTCAGATGAATCAAATTAGCTGAACCAAGGGGAAGGTGCAGGAGCAGAGACCTTACAAATGTTTAGTTTTGTGAATTTATGTTTGTGTTGGTGTGACTGCTGTGGCAGTGGTGGGTGCGTGTGCAGGGTCTGTGTTTTCAGGCTGCTCTTTTCAGGCAAACGCTGCCCTCAGGTTTCTAGGACAGGTTCAGGGGAGGCAATGCCTGTGAAACTCATCCTGTAGGCTCTCATGATAGCTGGACCACCGTGAGTTAYGACCCCAAGAGCTAAGGAGATGCTGCCAGTTTGTCTTTCAGACAAATGAACAGTGCTGATTTATATTCTGCGTAGCATATTAAGCATTAAAATCCCACCAGAAAACATAAAGATGTTGGGGAAGTGAGTGGCTGTACATATTACACAATAAATAATAATAAAAAGGAGCAGAAATTCAGCATTCTCCACAATCTAATAATATCAAACCTAATCCTCTGCCTTAACTGAACAAAAGTCTTCTTTGATATTGGTGGGGTGTTTTCCTGGAAAATAGAACATTCTTGGGTCCGTGTTTGAGGAGCACGGAAAAATAAATGTAATTTATTTTCATGTTTGCAAGGCTAACACATGTTATAATCCTGTAGAACAACGAGTAATTATTCCGGAGAGTGTTATTTTTCCAGCGATGTTCTTGTTGTATTATGTAGCTCTTTGGAGCCCCGGGAATCACGCCCCTTCACCAAAGAATTCAGCGAGCCTCAAACACATGTTCAGAGGCTTTGCTGAATCGGGGGCCTCAGGGTTTGATCTTKCAAATGCTTTCTTCCAGGCATGTTTCTGAACTACCACAAGGCATTCTTTAGACTTCAGCAAATCTAACCACAACAGTGAATGCAATGCTTGTCACAAATTGTCTGCAGGATTGGGTCCCACGTGGCTGGGAAGAACCGCTAAACATTTTGTTTGCTAAAGACGGGGCTGAAGAGGCGTCGTGGAGGGGTTTCAGGGGAGGAGGGATGATAGCAAAGCACAAGTGAGCCCCCACCTCCTAAAGCAGAGACCACGCGAGTCACCTCGCTTGGTAGGGGAGAAATACAACAGAGCCCGCAAGCAGCACCAGGCTTTAGATTCAGAGCCATGAATCACGGAATAATTTAGGTTCAGAGGAGTCTCTGGAGGTCTCTGGTCCAAGGAGGGCCAACTTCAAAGTTAGATCCAGCTTCAAAGTTGGAGCATGTTGCTCAGGGTCATGTTCAGCTGCRTTCTGGATATTTCCAGGGATGGAGGCAGCCTGTTTGCAGGTGTCCTTCTGCCTCTCTTGCTCCCTTTGCTTTTTAGGATCATGGGGTTTATAGGCTTTTTTAATTGGTCCAACTTTCCTTTGACTAAATGGCACAAGGTTCTCAAGACATTTTGTGCTAGTGCCTGTAATAAAATTAAACTTCTTTTTTATTTTTTGCCTTGCTTTTGTTTTTCCTCCTTCTTTCCTCTCTAATCAGATAACAGTGGATCAATCTGCTCTGCCAGGGAGGAGGGGTTCGGGGGAAGGAAGGAGGGAGGCAGGGAAGAAAACTGTGTGGTCTCACTGTCAGGCTGTCCTGGCCTTTTCCGAGCACAAAGACGAGTAACAGAAAACAGAGAAGATTAATAGCATTTTCTTCCTGCAACATGCTGAAGAGCGACAGTGAGATTAATTAATTAATTAATGGAAGCATCTGGCAGTGCTCCGTTCTTTAAGTTCTGCAGCACTCTCGCCSTTCGCCATCCCTAAATTTATCATCTCTACCTTTTCTCCCCCACCGTGCTTCGTATAGCAGGATTTTGCATTTTTTTTGTCTTTTCCTCACAGAGTTTGGTCCCACGGGGAAAGTTTCACTTTGCCTTTTGATTTGTGGGAGACAGGAGATCCAAAGCCATGCCTGTGTGACTGATGCTCCCCTCTCCCACCTCTGGGCTGCTTTCCTTTCACCTTGCTCCTGATTGCTCCCGGGATAACTGATTTTTTGTGGTTACCGCCGGATCCCAGCCAAGTTCAACCCGCCGTGTCCTGTGTGAAACAGACCCCATTTGGAAGAGTTATGATTCGCAGTGGTGGGAACCTGGGGCTTAGCACTTGATCCATTCCCCAGYGGAGTGGTGAGAAATGGGTGTCTGAGGCACAGCTGAGCACCTTGTCCTTGGCGTGCACTCTCCCACACGCCAGCGCTGCACGCCCAGATATATGTGGGACATTGAGAAAGAGAGCCCGGCTTTCATTTGCATTCCTTTTGTGGAGTGGGATGTGCATTATGCATTGATTTAGCTCACCAGTGCTGAAGAAAGAGAGGGATATAATAAAAAAGATGCAGAGATCAATAAAAAGGGAGGGAGGGAGGGGGAGAGAAAGTAATATGAAAAGAGATGAGTAAAGACTGATAGACACATTGAAACACAGCTGAGAAGTAGCTCCAGAACTTCTATCTCCCCTTAAGTTTGCCAGGTAATTTATAGGGTTTTCAGTCACATCTTATTGGTGTTATTATTGCTGCACTTTATCTCCCTTGCTTACAAGGGACTCTTGGCAAAGCCTTTTAAGAGCAAAACAGGGCAGCTCTTATGCTGACTTCCACATGTGAGTGGTCACCCTGAAGAACRGGAATGTTTCAGGTTAGACACACGTTTCAGTGGTGTGTTAGATCGGGGCCTCGGGGAGGTAAAATACAAAGCAAAGGCACAGAGCAGAAGCAAAAAAGAAAATAAATACATTTAGCTCTTGAATTTACCACTGATTTCTGGCATGCTTGAAACATGAGTCACCAGTGATTGTTCGGGGAAAAGTATGATTTTAATTTGACAATGATCCTTAAACACCTTTTCTTTTGCTCCTGCTTGGCCCCAAACGTTTTTTTCTGCTACCTTACAAATCTGGATCTGTCCTCCTCCTGCTCAGAGGCCTCTCCCTCCAGCTGTGAGCCTTACCTTTGTGGGAGCTCTATCCTTTACCTCTCCCATTATCCATAAATTAAGCATAGCACTTTCCCCTAATCTTATTGTTTGGCGGGCTGCATTGCATTCAGGGAAATG